CAAAGCCAGAATCAGAAGCAATACGGCAGCATCTCCTAAGACCACGCATTTGTGTATCCTACACAGCCTGGCCATTGTCCCAGAAGGACACAAATATAACAGAATATTCATGGTTGTTGACTGTGATTGAAGTGCGTGTGCGTGTGTCTGTGTGTGTGTGTATTGTGTGTGTGTGTGTATGTGTATGTGTCTCTCTGTGTGTGTATGTGTGTGTCTCTCTGTGTGTATGTGTGTGTCTGTGTGTGTATGTATGTCTCTCTGTGTATGTGTGTATATGTGTGTGTTGTGTATGTGTGTGTGTGTATTGTGTGTGCATGTGTGTATATGTGTGTGTGTGTGTGTGTGTGTGTGTGTGATGTGGGTCTTTGTCCTATAAGGTTGGAAGGGTGACTGTAAATTAAAAATAAAAGCCCTGGAGGAAACAAAGGAAGAGACTTCTCTTCCCTCGCCCTTTGCTTCCAGAAGATCTTTCTCTGTCCTTTTCCAAGGTGGGTAAATATTTTCAGTGGCTAAAGGAGCCTGTTTTGACAACCTGTATAGAACGGGTGACATTTACTTAGCTACTTTTAAAAGTGCGTCTTTGCGGCCTTAGTGGGTCACCTGTGATGCATGTCACATCCTGGCGTCACGCTCACTCAGTCATAAAATGGGTTTCTTTCCCTTCTACCGTGGCAGAGAGGCTTTCTGGGTTGATGTTGGGTTGAATTCTGATTCCCCAACAACACCTTCCCTGTTCCACCAGAGACGCTCTGGTAAACACTACCGCCACGAAGGGGCTGCCGTGACTTGTATCACGAAACCCATGTTGATAACAGTGCTTGCGGGTAGTTCATTTTCAAGTATGTGTCATCCTCTGAGGGTTAGAACACACCCCTCTGTCTGCAGAAAACACTTCCAAAACCACTGTATCCCCCCAAAAGGACTTTCGGAGATCTGTAAACACACACTCCATCGTTAACCCTGAGAACTGGCAAAGGAGATCAAAGGGCAATCTCCACTGATTTACATGGGACGGACACCCGGGTGTCAGAACAAACCACATGGGGACTCGGTGAGATGTCTTGTGCCAGATGTGTCTTCCCAGCTGCCACCAGGGCTGGGCGTCCTCCAACAGCTGGGTGTCTGAAGGATTCTGTGGAAAGCCAGGACGCTGAATGAGTTGACACCTCACCCCAAGACAACCTCCGTCTTCTTTCTAACCCCGTCTGTAAGTCATACAGAAGCATGGGATTCTTTTCTCCCTAAAAGAAGCCACCGTGATTGGAAAATCTCAGTAGGAACAAACACATGGGCTCCATGTGTGTGGTAGTCAGTCTCCTTTGGGAGGAAAACCTCAGCTGGAAAAAATTCCACATTTCATCCGTGAAAACCCTGCCTCCTACACGTCGGATGGATATAACTACTCGACCACCTGCATTCTTTTTCCGAACACTCAGCATATCACCCAGATGAAGAAAAGTGCATCTCCCCCCATGAAGAAACCGCCCCCCAAAATCAAGTATTTTAATATCTCCAGATGGAAAAAAAAAGGGGGGGGGTTGAACCATCATAAACTGAGAATGAAGAAAAAGCCAAAGCCCTAAAGGAAATAACACGCAATTAACTTTTTATCAGAGCCGAACACGCAGGCAGGACAATGAAACTCACTTTCTCTGCGTGGCAGGCAGAAACAGGAATAGCCGGATGGGAAGCGGGAGAAGCCACACCTGCTCGGGCGGGGGAGGAGGGAATCCCCCGAAACCCAGCAGTTGCCCCGGAAGTGTCGCTTTCCCTATAGGCGTTTCTGGATTTTCGAACGGCACTGGCTACTGTGCAGAGGCTGGCACGGAGCGTGGGGTCCTGGATTCAGCACCTTCCTGGACCCATTTCCCACCCGGTCCGCCCTTAGGTCGCCCAGGTGCCAGGAGTTCTAAAACCCGGGATGTAAGTGTCCTACCTGGAGGAAGACTACGGAAACCAAACCCCCAGCCACCAGCAACCTGGAACGTGTGACACAAATCCCTGGGTGTCTCAGCCTCAGCACGACTGACATTGGGGCTGGAGGACCCTCTGATGCGGGGCGTCCTGGGCACTGCGGGGTGTGCAGCAGCTTCCCTGGTCTCCACCCACCGGATGCCAGGAGCACCCCCTCCCCGCAGTGTGACAACCAAAAACGTCCCCAGACACTGTCATATGTCCCCCTGGGGAACCAAGTCATCCCAGGTTGCAAACCACAGCCACAGGTAGACAAATGGATGGAGGGACGGATGGATGGATACATAGATGAATGATTTATATGAAGTCTCCACGCTCGGTCAGGGTTTCTCAGCCTCAGCACGACTGACATTGGGGCTGGGTGACTCTAATACGGGGCGTCCTGGGCACTGCGGGCTGTGGACCAGCAGCCCTGGTCTCCACCCGCCACATGCCGGGAGCACGCCCCCTACCGTTGAGACAATCACAAACGTTTCCAGACATGGCCAAGTGTCCCTGGTGGCGGGAGGAAGCAGGGCTCCATTGAAAGTCGAAGCTGCCTCTTGCCTTCTAGGGCCCCTGCGTCTCTCCACCCCACGCTGTCCCACGGGGATTTCCAGAAAAACCTGGGAACACAAGAGCCCTGGGTCCCAAGGCCTCAGAAACCAGGCCAGTGCTACCTGCACCCCGATGAAGATCTACCCCCGACTCAATGGACTTCTGTAGCCAGAATGGAAACGAAGCCAAACCCCGATTTCTAGAGGGAAGTGTGTTCTGAACTTCAGCAACTCGAAAGCAAACTTTCCTGATAAAACCCCATTTGTATCTTAGGAACAGTCCGTTCCCTGCCTCGGACCCCAGAAGGATCAGGCAGGGGACGGGGGAGGCGCCCTCCAAGAGATCAGCACGTATCAAGGCTCTGTTCTCCCTCTGTTCTTTCGGGGCGAGGCTGGCTCTCCACCCCCGCGCTGCTCTGTGCCCCCCTCCCATCCCCCTGCCATTCAATCCCCAACATCTGCTGGCTGAAAGCATCAACCAACCCCGAGTAGCTGGGAGCAACCTGCATAGAAGTCAGGCAATTCCAGGCTAACGGTGCTCTGGGTTTCTTCTAAAAATTACACATTTTATATACAGGGTAGAATACAACCTGTACGTGAAAGCTGTTAAAAAACAAACACACGAAAAACAACTGTCACCAGAGACAGCTTCCAACTCAGCCACACCCTCGCACTGGCCAAGGCTGTGTTCCCCACCCCGGAGTCCTTGAACTGTGGGACTGTCACCATTCTTCGGCCCTGTGTCCTATCTGCCTGGTGAGATGTTTCCCTTCCCCCAGCAGATGGGACCTTCCTGGGCGACCAGAACCCCTTGTGATCCATCTCCCTGGGGCGAGGCACACAGTTAAGGGCTCAGAGGGCAATTAACTGACGAAACATGAATGAAGGTGTAGCCAGGGGGATGCACGAAAAAGTCTCATGAACAGGTGGGACTCAACCACACGGCAGGAAAAAAAAAAACAAAACCACTAATGAAGAACTCTGTGGTGAGGCAGCTAGGTGGGATTTAGGGCAGGAAACAGAGAAACAGGAAACCCATCCCAGGCCCTCCCCACCAAGCTGTAAACTATTCCAAGAGTTTCCCGTGGATCAGGCTGAATTGGTTCTAAAGCCTGCAACGAACACACAACTTCTAGAATACGTGGCACACATTTTAAAAATGCAGACATCGATTAGCAAATCCTCCCCAAAATAAAACTCAGGCGGGGGACCAGGGCTCAACATTCAACCTCTAGCGCTGAGCTGGAAATTTCCAGGTAAACACCGGGCCTTCTCTGTCCTGTGTCTGGCTCCTAAAACGTGTCCTCCACCGACCAGACCACTCCTGAAAAGACACTGCCCTAGTGGCTGTGCACTTAAAAATAACCACGTAAGGACAGAAAACAACCGTTAGTCGAAGAAACCCGTTTTTTATGCCACGCCCAGCAGGATCCCAACTTTCCTTTTCAAAGAAGAGAGAGACAGGAAAACTGGATCTCAACTTCCATTTTAAAAGGAGAAAGACAGAAAAACGCAGGCAAGAACCAGAAACAGGCCAGGTTGGCTGGGGAGTGTGGGCGTCCCGGGCGTCCTGTCCTTCTCCTGACACTTTTTTGGGTGCGGTTTTCCGAATTATCTACTCGGACACACGGACGATCGGCTGAGAACACGTGTCCCTTGGCGGCGTCGTTCTGCACCCGACCGCGCGCTCGCCAAAAGTCCCCGCGGCCCGGACACCGCAAGAGCTGCTGAGCGTTTCTAGAGCCCCGAGTTTTTCCTGGCTTCCTCCCCCTTTCCCGGGTTTCAGGCTCCCCGGCCGAGTCCAAATTTAGTCCCGGGCCGCAGGGCGTGGCGCCCGGAGGCGGCCACCGAGCGCCTGAACAAAGACGCGGTCCCCGGGCCCTGCCAGCGCTGTGGCCGGGGCGCGGGGCGGCCGCAGAGGCGCACACCCGCGCCCGGGAACTGAAGGGAACCCCGGGGGGAGGAGGAGGGGGAGGGGACTCGGGGGCCACCGCCCCACCCAGGGGCCTTCCAACTTTTAAGAGTCTGTGAATGTGAAAACAAACGCTGACATTCCGCCTGCGGAGTGAGTGCAAAGGCGCCCGGGAAGAAAGCGGGGAGGAAAGGGTAAGGCCGCCTCCTTGGGCCGTTGGCCACCCGTTGGCACAGCGGGTCCCTCTAGGCGGGAAGGACGGCTCAGGGCTCCCCGGCGCGTCGCCCTCCACGCGCCACCCCCCCACACACACAGTGCGCCCCCAAAATACGTCCCTCGCCATGCGTCCCCCAACGTGTGTAGGCCCCGCACAGCGCGCCCCCGAGGTGCATGCTTCCCCAGTGCGACCCCCAAACTACGTGTCCTACGCACTATGCCCCCCGAAGTATGTCCACCCCACACGGAGCGTCCGTCCCCCAAGGTTCGACCCCCTCCCATGGCCCTTCCCTGGGGCCCCGACGCGGGTCCCCAAGCCAGGCCCGCGCCCCCGTGAGCCCCACCGGCCGCCTCTCACTCACCCCGGGTGGGCACCTGGGTGCCAAGCAGGCCGAACAGCAGCAGCGCGAGGGCCGCCCGGCGCGCCATGGTGCGCCCCGCGACGCACAGTGTCTGTCCCGGGAGTGGCGCGCGGACGGTGGCGGCGGGAGGGACACCCCCGGGGCGGGGCCGGGTCAGGGTGCAGCGCGGTCGCCCCGCCCCGGCCTCAGCCCTCCCCGCTGGCGGCCGCCCCACCCCTGGGCCACAGGGAGCCGCAGGGGCAGGGCACGCGCTCGGGAGGCGGGGCGAGGCCAGTCTCTCCTGCTCCCAAAGTGGAGGGCCGCGTCTCCACCCTCCCACCCCTCTTTAACGGGGACCCCCCCGGGCGGCCTCTCTAGACAACGGAGTGAAGCCCCCGCTCCGGGGTCTGCTAAGAGTGGACCCCCTGCCTCGGGTGCAACAGCCCGCGGTCCCCAAAGTCCAGTCTGGAGTAGCAGAGCGCAGAGCACGGGTAGGGGTTTCCGGGCGCAGGGCCGCCCTTACTTCCCAGCCTGACCAAGGACCTCCTTTGCAGGAGCCTCCGGGCTCCGGAAGCGTCTCCCCGCCGAGCCGGAGGTGGGGAGGGGTGGGACATGTCTCCCCTCCCCCATCCGAAGCAGCTGGCTCCCAGGTTGGTGGGGGGAGAGGCATCTCTGGCGACAGTCACAAGCCACAGCTGCAATGTGGGTGCCCTTCCCTGTCCCGGGCTTACAATATTTTTTAAATTAAGGTATTAGCTTAAAATTCTATCCGTGTTCCTTCAGGACACTGGAACGAAGGTGTCAGACAGAAATAGCCCTGAGTCACATTCCGGGATTCTACCCTCCCGACCCTACCCATCCAGGGCCAGGTCTTACCCATCACACCCCTCCGGCTCCCGGGATGCCTCAGGGCCCCTCCTCCCTGCCCTCCTGACACCTGTCCTTCCGCCGCCATCTGCCGCCATACACAACGGACACGTGTACCCACTGGGTCAGACACACATCTGGCCAGAGGTGCCTGGACCCACACCCCAGGGCCCCCAGACTGCTTATCTTACAAGACCAGCAATCTGAACAAACACACCTGTACCCAGGGAGAAGGTGGTTCTTTTTCTCGGCCAACTGAAACCCCAACACATGATTGTAGACTACAGGCAGGAAGGTAATGTAATCATTTTCCGGCGAAAACAAAAACCAAAAAAACCGTCTTTGAAGTGTCCCTTCTTGTAGCTAACCTGGGTTGACCACTCAGCCAGAGAGCCCCATACCTCCAGGGAAATTTCTCTCTATATGTTTTTCTACCCCTCGCTTTTCAGCCTTGACTCTGCCAATTACCACTTTCCCTTTCCCAGACCACAGTCTTGGGGCCAATAGAGGACATATGGACCCTGGTCAGTTGTAAACAAGAGGACGTCCAGGGCACTTCTGAGGGAGGAAGGGGATGTTGGAGCTGCTGCAGCCATTTTGGCACCTTGAGGTAAGCCAGCCTCTGAAAGAAGCATAGATAAAGAAACCATGTGCTTCCTGCCAAGGTCAAATTCCAAAGACCCTTCCCTGGGAACTTTTCAGCTCACCCCAATTACCTTCAAAAGAAAGGTCCTACCTGGCAAATCTCCAGCCTCCGACAATTGAGCTGTACCACGGCTGACACTTTTCTCTTTTTAGAAGCTTCTGGAGGCTGTGTGCATTTGGTCACTGAGGGGCTGAGTCCCCATCATCAGCCATAACCTCAGGCACCATTGCTCTCTGAATGCCAGGGCTGGAGGTTTTAGATTCATGTCCCTACAGGGAGGCATTCTGAAGGCTTCTGTAATTTATTAAGATGACTTTTGGCTACTTCTCTTCTTTTTTTTTTTTAAGCGCTGCCTTCCTTAGTTCAAAATAAAAATTTCCATAACATCATGCAGATGCTTTGGCTTCAGAAAGCTCTAACTTCCAGAATGAAAATTAAATTACTTGAAAAAGCTTCCTCCCTTGTATCCAAACACCACAGAACCCATGTGAAGTCCATAAGCTGGACTGGGAGCTGGATAGAACGCATTTGGGAGCAGGCTTCTTGCTCCGAGTGGGGAACCCAGGGGAGTCATCAGTGAGATGCGTTAAACTGTAACGTGCTTAATACATGATGAACTTGGAACCTGCCTTCACTGATCACTTTAATTGTTGCTACCAAAAAAAAAAAAAACCCAGAAAACAAAAAGCCTCACACGCTCCCCAAGCATCACAGAGCCTAAACTGTTAGATGTTTGCCAAAAAAAAAAAAAACAAACAAACAAAAAAAGAAAAACAAAAAAAAACTGTTAGATGTTTGCCAGAGTTATTTTTCAGGAACTTGGGTTCAGCTGTGTCCAGTTTGAGCTCAAGCCAGGTAAGACTGGTCAACACCAGAGACCCTCCAACTGGGCATTTCTGAGAGTCCACTTGATGACATTTTCACATCCCAGGGCCAAAAACTCAACCTTCAGAGCAAGCTAATGCCAACATTTTCTGAACAATGGTCCCATGAAGAAGCCTGGACCTTAGTTGCACCTTCTCAGAGTGACGATCAACTCACTTTTTTCTTTTTTTTTTAAATTTTTTTTAATTGAAGTATAGTTGATTTACAGTGTTGTGCTAGTCTCTGCTGTACAGCAAAGTGACTCAGTTATACATAAATAGATACACACACACACATTCTTTTTTTTATATTCTTTTCCATGATGGTTTATCACAGGACAGTGAATACAGTTCCCTGTGCTCTGCAGTAGGACCTTGTTGTTTATCCATGCTATATATATTAGTTTGCATCTGCTGACCCCAAACTCCCAATCCATCCCTCCCCCACCCCCCCTCCCCCTTGGCAACCACAAGTCTGTTCTCTATGCCTGTGAGTCTGTTTCTGTTTTGTAATTAAGTTCTTTTGTGTTTTAGAACACAAAATTTTAGATTCCACGTATAAGTGACATCATATGGTACGTGTCTTTCTCTGACTTACTTCACTTGGTATGATCATCTCTAGGTCCATCTGTGTTGCTGTAAATGGCGTTATTGCATTCTTTTTTCATGGCTGAGTAATATTCCATTGTATATATGTACCACATCTTCTTTATCCATCCATCTGTTGATGGACATTTACATTGCTTCCATGTCTTGGCTATTGTAAATAGTGCTGCTGTGAACACTGGGGTGCATGTATCTTTTTGAATTAAGAGTTTTATCTGGATATACACCCAGTAACGGGATTGCTGGATCATATGGTAGCTCTATTTTCAGTTTTCTGAGGAACCTCCATCCTGTTCTCCATAGTGGCTGTATCAATTTACATTCCCACCAACAGTGTAGGAGGGTCCCCTCTTCTCCACACCCTCTCCAGAATTTATTATTTGTAGACTTTTTACTGTTGTCCATTCTGACCGATGTGATCACACATTTTTTTCTTATCTTCAGTCACCTTTCCACACACTCCCCACACCTCAGCTTTGCCCCATAGATACCCTAAGCCCTTCACCTTCAGGGAGGCCAATGTGCGGTTTCTTCTCCTGTCTTCCCACCTGGCTGCCTCGTGAATAAGCCCTTTCTCTCTGCTGCAGACCCCAGCATCACAGCGTTTGGCTTGCTCGGTGTCAGGCAAACAAACCTGGTTCAGTAACACGTGCATTATGCTGGCTGAACCACAGGACGTGACCAAGGTTGGACCATTTTTGATGGATGCAAAGGGCAATTCTGTGTTTCAGCGTTACCCTTGGTGACTCCCCGTCTTAAGCTGGGACCTCGTCTATCTCTTCAGTTTTTAACTGTTAATGCATCTGACTTTGGTCCCTTCCTAACCTGCTCTCCAAGCCAGATATTCATGCATATGTATATATTTCCTCTAAAACACACGCTCACACGCGGCTTAAACAACAGACATTATTTCTCACAGTCCTGGAGGCTGGGAGTCTGAGATCATGGCATGGGCAGATTAGTTCCTGGCCAGGCTCTCTTCCTGGCTTACAGATGCCACCTTCTTGCTGTGTCCTCACATGACGGGGAGACAGCTCTGGTGTCTCTTCCTCTTCTTATAAGGACACTAATCCCATCACAGGGACCCCATCCTCATGACCTCATCTAACCGTAATCACCTCCTAAAATCCTAACACCATCACCTCAGGAATCAGGGCTTCTGCATATGAATTTTCGGGAACACACACACATTCAGTCCATAACCACCTCCATCCATCAAGAATATTCTTTACAACAGCAAAATAGTAAAAACAAACACAACAAAAAACAACTATAGGCACTACAGGAAATCAGAGTGTACTGGGAAACTCTGCAGCCATTTGAAAGCATCGTAGAAGAACGTTTAATGATTTGCAAATACTCGTAAATCTTAAAGGCACAGCCTAAGCCAATGCAAGTTCTATAGAAACTCTCTATAAACAAGTGAAAGTGAATAGCAGCATACACACTAAACCTTTAGTAGGGATTAGTTCTTAGATTATGAGGGATGTTTTGGTGTCTGTGTTTTCTAAATTTTCTGCACTGCATTATTTTTGAATAGGAGGTAAATGTATTTTAAAATTGTAAGAGTGGAAATTTGGAGAACGCCCTAGAGTGTGACCTAGTTCAGGAAGGAGGTCCTGGAAATATGATGGTAATTTAATAGGATGGAGTCTGACCTCCCCTCTCACCCGTGGACGTGGAAGCAGTGAGAACAGACAGAAGGACCATGGGAAGCCTGAAGTCCAGAAAATATATGAGCAGAGTGCCCTCCTGGAGTTGGCAGAAAATATCAAGTACTGCCGCTGAGAAAGAGGAGGCTCGAGTTGCATTCCCAGAAGCAGAACCTGAGATGGGCATTCTTGTGCCAGTGGGTTATGGAGGGAGAGCTCGCGGGAGGAGAAAGTTAGGGAGGCTGGCCAGGACAGGGCCAAGAGCTGAGCAAGGAGGTAGTGTCAGCTGGGGATGGGGCTTACCCTGACCCTGCCAGGCACTCTGGAGCGTGGAATGTATCTCCTAGAGGCCAGAGGGGCTTCTGTCCACCCCAGTCGTCAGTCGTTGGCCAGGCACTGCCTTCAACCCTAGGAAGGGAGTATACGGGCATAACCTTTAGGGTAAGGTGGCTCATCTTCAGGCCAGGACCGTTCTGTGAAGAAGGGGCAGTTAATAGCCAACACT